TGTGTGGTGTGTGTGTGTGTTGTGTGTGTGTGGTGTGTGTGTGTGTAAAAACCCAACAATGCACAAACTAGATTTATTGAATAAGTGAGACAACACTCCTAGATTCCATCTTCGATATAGGACTCGAGAAGAATTCCGAACCCGTTGTCTCACTTATTCAATAAATAGTTTGTGCATTGTGTGTCTCTCTCTCTCTCTCTGCTCTCTCTCTCTCTCTCTCTCTCTCTCTCTCTCGCTTTCTCTCTCTCTCTCTCTCTCTCTCTCTCTCTCTCTCTCTCTCTCTCTCTCTCTCCACTCCTTCATTCATCACTTACTAATTCTCTCTCTCCTTCCATCCTCTTACCTCTATTTCTCCGTCTGTCTGTTTCCCTTCTCATCTTTCCCTGTCTGTAAGTCTCCCCTCTCCTTCCTCACGTTCTCCCATCCTCTCCACCATTTTTCTCTCTCTATTCTATCTTTATATCTCCCCTTTTTCTGTATCGATCATCTTCCTCACGTTCTCCTCTCTCTCTCCACATTTTCCTCTCTCCTATCTTTATATTCTCCCTTTTCTCCATCACTCTCCTCCTCACGCTCTCCCTCTCTCTATCCACCATTTTTTTCTCTCTCTATCTTTATATTCCCCCTTTTTATCTATATCCCTCTCCTCCTCATCCCTCTCCTTCTTCTCTGTCTCTCCATCATTTTGTTCTCTCTCTATCTTTATATTCCCCCTTTTTATCTATATCCCTTTCTTCCTCATTCCCTCTCCTTCTCCTCTGTCTCGACCCGTTCCCCACTCGCTCAGCTTCACCACTCGCTTCGTGATCATATTTCAGGAAAATGGACAGGGTAAGATAGCGGTTCTGAGTCCCTTCTGTATTGTGCCTTTGCTTGGGAAATCCGGGCTGGTGGAGACACGCCCAGTGGTATGTGTTGATGGTGAGGATGGTGAGTGGTGGTGGTGGTGAGGATGGTGAGTGGTTGTGGTGGTGAGGTTGATGGTGGTGTTTTGATGGTGAGGATGGTGGAGTGGTGAGGGTGGTGAGTGGTGGTGAGGTTAATGGTGGTGTTTTGTATGGTGAGGATGGTGGTGGTGGTGACGTGATGGTGGTGATGATTATGAATGAGTACGATAACAAATGGGATAATAATAATTCTGTCAATGATCGTAAATGTAAAAATGATGATGACTGACGACCCCGAATGTGTATATATATATATATATATATATATATATATATATATATATATATATATATATATATAATATATATGTGTGTGTGTGTGTGTGTGTGTGTGTGTGTGTGTGTTGTGTGTGTGTGTGTATGTGTGTGTGTGTGTGTGTGTGTGTGTGATAGTGTCTGTTGACAGTTAGACTCCTAAAAGCCAGATAGGGCAATTTAAACAGCAAAATATATAAACAACAACATCCTCCCCATCACCAGCAATTAAAGACCACTCTTAATCCATAGGCTTAGCATCCCACGCACTCCATATTATAGGCCTAAGGTTTATGGCCGCTCCTTTGATCCCCTGATCCCGAGAATCGACAATCTTTATTGGGTCTGATTAATTAGTTTAGCTCTCCTATAGATAGGATTTTATTTTTTTGGGTGGTTTCCTATGCGTGTTTTGATGTTGTCTGGGAGGGGAATATGTTGCATGTGTAATGTAGGTGTAAATAGATAGATAGATAGATAGTATAAAGAGAAAGGCAATCTTTCAGACATATAGACATGTATATATGTACACAATTTTTAGAGAGAGAGAAGAGAGAGAGATAGGGGAGAGAGAGAGAGTGGAGGGTTATATGTATAGGGCTGAGAAAGATTAAAAAAAAAAAAAAAAAAAAAAAAAAAACAGATAGATAGGTATAAAGAGAGAGGCAATCTTTAAGACATACAGACATGTATATGTACACAATTTTAGAGAGAGAAGAAAGAAAGATAGAGAGAGAAAGAGAGAAAGAGAGGGAGAGGGAGATGGTTTTATGTATAGGCTGAGAAAGGCAATCTTTCAGACATACAGACATATGCACAAAATCTTAGAGAGAGAGAAGAAGAAGAAAAGATAGGGGAGAGAGAGAGAGTGGAGGGTTATATGTATAGGCTGAGAAAGATAAAAAAAACAAAAAAAACAGATAGATAGGTATAAAGAGAGAGGCAATCTTTAAGACATACAGACATGTATATGCACACAATTTTAGAGAGAGAAGAAAGAAAGATAGGGAGAGAGAGAGAAAGAGAGGGAGAAGGAGATGGTTATATGTATAGGCTTGAGAAAGCAATCTTTCAGACATATAAGCCATGTTTAACCATGTAATGCAGAGAGGAGAGAAAGAGATAGATATATTGATAGAGAGAGAGAGAGAAATAGTGGAGGGAGGGAGAAGAATGTATACACACTGTGGTAACGAAACAACACGCACACACACACACAACACACACACACAACAACATACACACACACACACACACACACAGAATGAGAGCGTATATACTTATATTTAGTAGATACAACTAGAGACAAAAGTTTGGTAGAATATTTTACGCCAGTCAGCTACAGATAATTTTGATAATGATGATAACAATAATCATTATAATTATAATAGTAATAATAACAATAATGATTATAAAACCAACAATGACGAATAGTAACGGTAAGAATAGGAATGATAACAATGATAATGAAAATGGTAATAACGCTGATAATATTAGTAATAATAACGATGATGAGAATAGCAATCAATTATATAATAATAATGATAATAATGATGATAATGATAATAATGATAATGATAATAGTAATAGTAATAATAATAATAATAATAACAATATAATGATGATTAAAAAAACAATGATAATGAGATAACAATAAATAAATAGTAATAATAACAATAACAATAAAATGATAATAATGATAAATAATAATAATGGTAATAATAATGGTAATAATAGTAAATAAATAAAATAAATAATGATAATGGTGAAGATAACAATAGAAATAATATAAAGTAGGAAAAATTCACACAAAAAACAAGACCACATACACGATAACCAAACAAA